AGATGTGTCTATTGAGTTCCTCTGCCCATTTTTTAACTGGGTTCTTTGTCTTCCTTTTGTTGAGTTGTATGAGTACTCTATATATTTTGGAAATTAACCCCTTATCTGATGCATCATTGGCAATGATGCTCTCCCATACAGTAGGTTTCTTTTGCTGTGCAGAAGCTTTTGAGTTTGATGTAGTCCCATGTGTTCATTTTTTCCTTTGTTTCTGTTGCCTTACATGATGTATCAGTGAAAATTCTGCTGGGTATGATGTCCAAAATTTTGTTGCCTACATTTCCTTCTAGAAATTTTATGGATTCACGGGTCACATTTAAGTCTTTTATCCATTTTGGTTTATTTTTGTGTATGATGTAAGTTGATGGTCTAGTTTCATTTTTTTGCATGTAGCTGTCCAATTTTCCCAGCACCATTTATTAAAGAGTCTGTCTTTACTCCATTGTATGCTCTTGCCTCCTTTTTCAAATATTAATTGAGCATGTCTTGGGTCCATTTCTGGGTTCTCTATTCTGTTCCATTGATCTATCTGCCTGTTCTTGTGCCAGTACCAGGCTGTTTTGATTACAGTAGCTTTGTAGTATAACCTGATATCTGGAATTGTGATCCCACCTACTTTGTCCTCCTTTTTCAAAATTGCTGTGGCTATTCGGGGTCTTTTTTGGTTTCATATGAACTTTTGAAGTATTTGTTCTAGTTCTGTGAAATATGTCATTGGTATTTTGATGGGGATTGCATTAAATCTATAGATTGCTTTGGGTAATATGGACATTTTAATGATGTTAATTCTTCCAGTCCACAAACAAGGTATGTGCTTCCACTTTTTTATATCTTTCTCTGTTTCTTTTTTCAATATCCTGTAGTTTTCTGCAAATAGGTCCTTTACTTCTTTGGTTAAGTTTATTCCTAGGTCTCTTAATTTTTTTGCTGCAATGGTAAATTAGATTGTTTTTTCAGTTTCTCTTTGTGTAAGTTCATCATTGGTGTATAAGAATGCCATTGATTTGTATCCTGCTACTTTGCCAAATTCATTTATTAAGTCTAGTAGATTTTTTGTATGGAATCTTTAGGGTTTTCTATGTATAATATCATGTCATCTGCAAATAATGACAGTTTCAATTCCTCCTTTCCAATTTGGATCCCTTTTGTTTTTGCTTCATGTTTGATTGCTGTGGCTAAGACTTCCAGTACTATATTAAATAAGAGTGGTGAAAGTGGGCATCCCTGTCTTGTTCCTGTTCTTAAGGGAAATGCTTTTAGTTTCTGCCCATTGAATATGATGTTGGCTGTAGGTCTTTCATATATGGCCTTTATTATGTCAAGATATGATCCCTCTATTCCCACATTGCTGAGCATTTTTATCAGAAATGGATGCTGGATTTTGTCAAATGCTTTCTCAGCATCTATTGATAAGATCATGTGGTTTTTATTCTTCATTTTATTTATGTGGTGAATCACATTTATTGATTTGCGAATATTATACCAGCCTTGCATCCCTGGGATGAATCACACTTAATCATGGTGAATAATTTTTTTGATGTATTGCTGGATTCGTTGCTAGCATTTTGTTCAGGATTTTGGCGTCTATGTTCATCAGAGATATTGGCCTGTAGTTTTCTTTCTTTGTAGTGTCTTTTTCTGGCTTTGGAATTAGAATAATGCTGGCCTCATTAATGAGTTTGGAAGTCTTCCTTCTTCTTGAATTTTTTGAAGTAGTTTGAGGAGAATGGGTGTTAGTTCTTTTTTGAATGTTCGGTAACACTCCCCCATGAATCCATCCAGGCCTGGGCTTTTGTTTGCTGGGAGAGTCTTGATTACCTATTCAATTTCCTTAGTTGTTATTGGTCTGTTTATGTTTTCGATCTCTTCCTAGTCCAGTTTTGGAAAACTATATGTTTCTAGAAATTTGTCCATTTCACTTAGATTGTCGAATTCGTTGCCATATAATTGTTCACAGTAGTTGTTAACAATCGTTTGTATTTCTGTGGTGTCAGTTGTTACTTCTCCTCTTTCATTTCTGATTTTGTGTATTTGGGTTCTCTCTCTTTGTTTGTTGGTGAGTCTAGCTAAGGGTCTATCAATCTTGTTTATCTTTTTGAAAAACCAGCTCTTTGTTTCATTGATCCTTTGAATTGTTTTTTGTTTTTTTTTTTTTGTCTCTATGTCATTTATTTCTGCTCTGATCTTTACTATTTCCTTCCTTCTACTTTCTCTGGGGTTTTCTTTTTGTTTGCTTTCTAATTCTTTAAGTTGTGAGGTTAAATAGTCTATTCGAAATTTCCCTTGTTTCTTGAGGTAGGCCTGTAGTGCTATGAACTTCCCTCTCAGAACTGCTTTCGCTGCATCCCATGGATTTTGTGTTGTTGTGTGTTCATTTTCATTGGTTTCCAGGAAGTTTTTAATTTCTTCCTTGAGCTCCTCAGTAACCCATTCATTGTTTAATAACATGCTATTTAGCCTCCATGTGTTCAGATGTCTTTGTATGTTTTTGTTGCAATTCATTTCTAGTTTCATGCCATTGTGATCTGAGAAGATGCTTGATATGATTTCAATCTTCTTGAACTTGTAGAGATTTAGTTTGTGTCCTATCATGTGGTCTATCTTTGAGAATGTCCCATGTACACTTGAGAAGAATGTGAATTCTGTAGTTTTGGGGTGTAATTCTCTGTAGATATCTATTAAATCCATTTGCTCTAGTGCTTCATTTAGAGTCTCTGTTTCCTTGCTAATTTTTTGTCTAGAGAATGTATCCAGTGGTGTCAAAGGGGTGTTGAAGTCCCCTGCTATGATTGTATTGTTGTCGATTTCTCCTTGGAAGTCCTCCAGAAGATTTTTAATATATTTTGGTGCTCCTATATTGGGTGCATATATGTTTATCAAGGTTATATCTTCCTGTTGGATAGATCCTTTCAATATTATGTAGTGGCCTTCTTTGTCTCTAGTTATGGCCTTCATTTTGAAATCTATTTTATCAGATATGAGAATTGCTACCCCAGCCTTTTTTTCCTTTTCATTTGCTTGGAAGATTTTTTTCCATCCCTTCACTTTCAACCTATGTGAGTCTTTTATTTTGAGGTGGGTCTTTTGTAAACAACATATAGATGAGTCATGCTTTCTTATCCAATCATCTACTCTGTGACTTTTTATCGGGGCATTCAGTCCATTTACATTTAAGGTGATTGTTGATATGTACTTATTTATTGCCATTTTTGTTTAGTGTGGTTCTATTTTTCTTCCTATTTCTTCCACTAATTACAGCAGTCCTTTTAGCATATCTTACAATGCTGGTTTGGTGTTAATATATTCCCTTAGCCTTTTGTTGTCTGAGAAGTTCTTTATTTGACCTTTTATTTTGAATGATAGCCTTGCTGGGTAGAGTAGTCTTGGATTCAGATCCTTGTTTTTCATGACCTTGATTACTTCATGCCACTCCCTTTTGGCCTGTAGTATTTCTGTTTAGATGTCAGCTGAGAGCCTTATGGGGTTTCTTTTGTAGGTAGCCTGTTGCTTATCTCTTGCTGCCTTTAGGATTCTCTGTGTCTTTAATTTTGGGCATTTTAATTACTGTGTGTCTTGGTGTGAACCTGTTTGGGTTCTTCTTACTTGGGGCTCTCTGTGCTTCTTGAACTTGAATGCTTTCTTCCTTCACCAAATTAGGAAAGTTTTCTGTCACTATTTCTTCAAATATATTCTCTAACCCTTGCTCATTTTCTTCTTCTTCTGGGACTCCTATGATGCAAATATTATTATGTTTCCAGTAGTTCCACAGTTCTCTTAACCTGTCTTCCTGTTTTTTCATTGTTTTTCCTTTTGGTTTTCTGATTGGTTAATTTTTTTCTACCCTGTCTTCTAATTCACTGATCCGGTCCTCAGCTTTCTCTACTCTGCTGTTTAGACCTTCCAATGTGTTCTTTATTTCTGATATGTCATTCTTCATTTCTTCTTGCTGGTGTTTAATTTCCAATTGGTTGATTTTCAACATTTCTATGTCTTTACTCATGGTGTTGATGTTCTTACTTATGCTGTTGAGCTTCCTCAAGATCATGGCTCTGAATTCTAGCTCTGTTAACTTGCTTAACTGCTCCACATTTATCTCATCTTCAGTAGAGGCCTCTTGTTCTTTCATTTGGCTTTTGTTTCTTTTTTTCACCACTGTGGCAATCACAGTGGGCTTTGGAGCCTGCCAAATTTTCCCTGTGGATGTTGGTGTTCTGCTGTTTTTAGCTCCCTCTCCGGGTTTCCTCATTTTTTTGTTGAACAGTTTATATTATTTTCTTATTCAAAAATGTGGCTGATTACAAGATACATCATTGATTTTAAAAACAACCTTCCAGATGCATTCTGGGCAAATTAAAAAATTTTCAAATGGGGAAAAAAAAAAAGCATCTTAGAAACTAGGAAGATAGCAGCACCTATGGAGCCCAAACCCCTCAGTACTGCCCTTGTGACCAATACCCCAATCCCTCACCCCACAGCACTTGACATAAGCTTGTGTTATTGTCCCCATCAATTTTTTTCATATTTGGCTTAGCAGTGACACTTTCCTCTGCCACTCCTTTCCCACTTCTCTTTGAGGCAGGAACTCTGGTCTGGTTTTTTTTTTTTTTTTTTTTTTGCATAAAACAGTATAGTCCACAAATGTTTTTAGCAAACACTGAATGAATGAATGAAGACCTTCACATCTCTGTAGATAGTATATATTTTCCCTAGTGGAAACATCCATAAGCTATCCAAGGAGAGGTGGAGAGGTATCCAGAGAATTTTAAATATTAAACTCTGAATGAATGAATGAATGAATGAATGATACCTTCATATCTCTGTAGATAGTACATGTTTTCCCTGGAGAAACATCCATAAGCTATCCAAGGAGAGGTGCCCACAGAATTTAAGAAATTAAACTCAGTTATGTTCACTGTAGAAAATGTAATAAACATATATATTAATGGTCTCTGTTTCCATTCTTATAAATATATCTCCCTCCCATTCTTTTTTCCCTCTAGGGATTCTTTAGGAGGAGCCAGCAGAACAATGCCTCTTACTCCTGCCCAAGGCAGAGAAACTGTTTAATTGACAGAACCAACAGAAACCGTTGCCAACACTGCCGACTGCAGAAGTGTCTTGCCCTAGGAATGTCAAGAGATGGTAAGGCACAGCCTTTCTATTTCTTACATGAAGGCTTTCAAATAGATGTTTTGCTGGAGTCTGTTTAAGCCACTGGAAGAATTCTAAACAAAGGGAATTAGAAATAAAAAGAACAAAAAAGCATGTGTTGGTAATGCATTAAGAGGAAAAGTAAGAACATATAAAAATACAGTATTGTCTATTAAATAGGAAGAAAGGAAAGACTTTACTGTAGCTCGTGGGGCAACCTGTGCAAACTAAGTTAGGAGACAGCCACGTAGGCCTAGAATGGAAGGTGACCACCTATCCAAGTTTTCCTGCAAATGAGGGATTGGTTTCCTGGAACATGAGATTTTCAAAGCTCAAATTGGGAAGTCCTAGGAAAATGGAAACTTTGGTCACTGGGTACGTCTGACTGGTGCACAAGTTGCTTAGTATGTGGAGACGCTAAGGAACAGAATGTGCTTCTATAGGAAGCCCAGAGTTCCATTGGCCTGTCACAGCTACTCAGATAAGGATGTAGACTATTCTGAGTCATGATGTAGATGCTATAGCAGCAGTCCAAGTCTTAGAAGGGTTGTGTAGGTAGTGTCCTCAGAATATGACTCAAGTGTGCACTCCACCTTCAAGCCCAACTCAAGTGCATGGCCTGACTTAACAACTGAACTTCTTAGATTAATAAAAAAGAAATAAAATAAAAGAATTTTATCTAGCTTTTTCTCTATTTTTAAGCATTCACCTAAACTAATTATGTCCCCACTGACATGGGCCACAGCATTCCTGCATCAGATTGTGAGCAGTCCTGAGCCTTGGGACCATGTCTGTCTTATTCTCCCTATATTCTTGGAGTCTCATTTTGAAAGCAGGTACCTAAATGTTTGTTTAATGACCATGGCATTTTCTTACCTAAGACCTAAGACACAGGCAGTGCCCCTGATACTTATTCTCTTTATATGAAGCACTGTAATAAAATTCAAGGTGGTGCAGACCCACCCCACCCCCACCCCCCCAAAAAAGAAAAGAAACGCTTCCAGATTTTTTAAAAATTGGATAATTGGCATGTACTCTATCCTGCTATAAAGGGATTTTATGAGTAATTAAATTAGATGTGGGCCTTTTAGTTATTTGAATAAAGTCAACTCCATATTGGTCTTGATAGCTAAGCACATAAACTACTTAATTTTTAGCTTGCATTCTCCAAATAGTTGTATCTTGAATTTTTGTTCACCTTTTCTCTAATTCTCAATCACCTAAACTTGTCTTGCACAAAAGTACACCTATAAGATAAATTTGACCAAAAAGAATCTGATCTTGAGCCTTTTAGTTTACAGGTAGCTTCTAAAGGTACAGAAATGTAAGTTTCCAAAACTTTTCTATTTATTACCTAACTGATCTTTTTGCTTGTTTATTTGTTTTTTGTTTGTTTGTTTTGCTTGATTTACTAACTACATAAACGTACTCCTAGGGTAAACATAGCACTGTGTATTTCCATATAAGTAGAGTGGAGAAAGTGGAGAATGGGGGTTAAGTGGTTTTCAAGATTTACATAGTAAATGTTATGGGAATTTGAGTTGATTATTTTGTACATTGTTTCTACCATATGGAGGCAGCATATTAATTGGCAATATCTGAAAAGCCCCATTAATAACTGAGCAAAATAAATAAGCCATGGGGTATCTGTCTTTGTTATTTCTTCCTGTAATAAAAGGAAATAACCTCTTTTGGAAGTGCAGGTCTTGTGGATCTATGCTGGTGAACAGAATCATGGGCAAAGGATGGGCATATGGTCTCAGGCAGCCCACATCAGCCCACAAATCTAGAGGATTATTTGAATCCCTTGATATAAAAGAAATGGAGAGGGGTGTTACTCAATGTATAGAGCCACAATCTATTCTCAAGGGGGGAGAAATTTACTGCAGAATACAAATGGCTATGCAAGTAAAAGCAATACAGTGTCTGATGGTACTGGAGATTAAGGATAATGACCTTAATATTCGGTTCAGAGACCATCCTGAGGCTGCCAGGGACATCTTCCAGAATTCCTTCTGAGCATGTCTTACGTCAAACTGATGTAGAGAAATGTTCAAGGATAAGAGTGGTGGTTGGGAATGAGGAGAAGGGGCTCCAGCAGAAAAAAAGAAATATGATTCTCTCTAAGGGAAAAAAATCTCTGTTTCTGTTATATAGAGGAAGTTTGGTCTGAACTTTGGTTATAAAGGGTACCTCACACCAAATAAATTATACTAACACCAGGGAAACTGAATTAGTTTTATCTCCTATTGATAAGTAATGCCTAATATGTGATATTAAAGAACTGGAAAGCCCTAAAATTATGGTTGATTAGCTATGTCTACTAAGGACTCCAGAATGAGAGGTGGTGTTTCTCCTGCCACTAATTTATTATAACTACCTTCCACTAATTAAACAAATATTTTCAAAGTACTTTAGCAATAGTACCAGTAGCCAGGGTAAAATGCCCTCATGCCCAACTTCTCTCTGCATGCATTCCATGACCTTCCCTCAGGCATGAAGTAGCATCTTCATTCTGATATTTGCATTTTCTCTCTGTCAATTATGCCTGACTCCAAGGACGCTTGCTTCATCGTATGTAGTCACTGAAACAACGTGGCTACTAGTAAATGGTTTGATATAACAGCTGAAATCACTGGACTTTCATTCTTTCCTGAATTGTCACTTCTATCATGGGTTATTAGCCAGGCACATTTATGAACAGACAACAAAACTCGGCAAGAACAAATTTGCTCAAATTGAGCTTAGGCAAAGACTCAAAAATCAAATCCACTTGGAATGCATACACATGTGTTTATGTGTATAAGGTGAAGGTATGCATGTATCTGTGGGTGTGAACTGATAGCATATATATGCCCTCTGCATTTTCTCCACCATCTTCTTTCTTTTTTTTACTGGACTCCAAAAATGTTAGTTCCGGGAATCTTCAATGTAAACTGTTTCCAACTGTACTACTACAAACAAACAAACAAAAAATAGAAAAATGTTGGGCATCAGTAGAAAGTTACTGGGCTCCAAAGAAAAAAACATGACATCTACCTTGTAGTAATCACATAAACGCCCCCCTTAATGACATGTCTCTATGAAGCAATAGAAGCTGCCCTGCAAAGACAGGCTTCACAGAGCAGGCTTCTTATTCAGAACAGTATTATCCAATATGGTGCTCAAGTGTCACTGTTTAAATTTAAATGTAAGTAAAATTAAATGAAGTTTAAAATTCATTTTCATTTTAACTAGTCATACCAGTTATATTTCAAGGGCTCGATAGCCACATGTGCTTGTGGCTATCATGTTGGAAGGCATGGAGAACATTTCATCACCCTAGGAAGTTCTGGTAGATGATACTTGAGGAGGAGGAGAGAGAATATTTTTAAATTATGAATAGGGTTGAGTAGGTTGAATTGGATTTTTTTAAAAAAACAAAGCTCAGAACACTATAAAAAAGGAACATCCTTGAAATTTAAGCATAAAATTAAGACCAGTTTCCTTGGTAAGCAGCATGACATAAACATAGAAAGCTTTACAACCAAAAACAGTAAGAGAGAATAATTGCCAAAATGACTATGGAAAGTCATTGATAATAGTTCTACAATTGGGTTATCTTGACCCCAAAAACAAGTGTCTAATTACCATGTGGTAGTAAGTGCAAGTCTTTGAAGAAGCAGTGTTTCATTGTTACTCTACAAACTTTCTTTTTTTTTTTTAATGGTTTTGTTGACTTTTAGATTTTAGAGAGAGAGGAAGGGAGGAGGAGAGGAAAACATCGATTGGCTGCTTCCTGCATGCCCCCTACTGGGGATCCCGGAAACCTACTCTAAAAACTTTCATTCCATTTAGCATCACACAATCCAAATAAATATGAAAAGATTTCTGATATATTCCATAAAATTGTTCTTGGCTCATGTGGGATCAAAATGAGGGTTAAGAGCTTATCATGAGCAAATACCACTATCACTGAATATTTATAAAGCACTTGCAATGTATACAGAATTGTGCTAGTTTCTTTGAGTGCTAGCAGTTTAACAAGAGACTGCCTCTACACTCAAGTGAATCTCATTAACAGAATAATTCAAGTTTGAGAGGGGCAAACACTTAAAATATGTGCCATTCTGATTAATGGTTAGTGGAAGGAAGAATGCTAACATTTGAAAATAATAGTAATACAGCCTTTGTTGAAATAGGCCTATGAATACAATAAATGTATATATTTACAAATAGTGACAAGGAATTATTTATATGTTAGGAAAGTTTAGAAGGTTTATTTTTGCCGTGTACTGTAATTTTTCCCAAATATGTCACTACTATTATAGGAAGGGACATAAAACTGAAACACTGGTTTATCAGTATTTCTGAAATAAAGGGAAAATTCATTCTAAAAGAGTATTATAGTAATTGTCAGTAAAGTCCGTGATTTAGGATGAAGCCTGATAATTCCAAAAGGTAGTAGGGATGTAAGTTGCTTCTCTGAAAATATCTGTTTGCTCAGTGACCTGATAAGTTAATTTCTTAGGAAAGGTATAATTATTCACCACTGAGTTTTCAGATATTCACCAGGGCACAGGTCTTGACAGCATACTTATTTGACATTGTTAGCTTTGATTTTGAGATCTATGGTAAACGGCAGAATTCTAAACCTAAAATTGTTAACTATAGGGTCTTGACTGGGCTCATTCATTTATCTGCCATCAGCTGCTGGTCAGTCTGTGCCTCTACTGAATATACATGGATTTGTCCAGAATGACTGAGGTGGCTGGGCTCTACCTCATCGATCTTGTCCTCCAGCACGCTAGGCTAGGCATGTCCTTTCCATGGTGAGATACTCAATCCCACAAGCACTTTGGAAGCTCCTGTTTGTGTCCCATCTGTCACTATCCCATTGGCCCAGAGCAGACCTCATGACCCTGCATCAAGGGGTGGGGGAATAATGCCCACACAGATGGAAGGGTCCTGCCAGTTTACATAGGGAAGAACATGGAAGTAGGTAAGAGAAATCAGGGTCATTAACAAAAGCAACCCACCACAGTGTATATTTCACCAAAACAGAGAGTGTGTAGAAATCTAAAACAAGGTTTGAATGGAAAGGAGTTTAAAAAGAGATACTGCATTTCTGTCTTTATGTTAGAAGTTTCTCATCATCCATTTTTTTCTCCCTATACATTTTAAACTAACAAATGCAAAACTATTCTCCTAAAGTAAATCAGAAAGTAATTCTCCTAAAGTATACTCGAGCAGAAACGAACATCTTAATCTATAGCAATAGATGCAAATTTGGTGTTCACCACCATAGCTTGTAACAAAGAGCTGTTCTAAGCCTTCATGGATACAACAAACAGAGGGTCAGCAAATAAAGAAGCATATCACATACTTTCTTAGTGCGGTGGGGGTGGTTCTGAATCAAAATTATCATGGTTTATTTTTTCTTATACAAAAACGTCTTTTTCACTAGAGGATTATATGTAGTAAATTATTTATAAGATATAATATAAAGGTACACTTTCCCTAAAAGTTACTATAGTTACTATAAAATTCTGTCCATGGACAAACTACAAATATCACAGCAATTAGTAAGCCAATACATGTGTCCTTGAGAAACAGAGTCTGACAATAACAGTGTCTCTACAAACAAGTTAAATACAATGCTAAATGATTTAAGGCCCTGCAGAAACAACAGTTGAGGTGGAAAGAGGAGTTTGGTCTGAATTCACCAGATCACTTTTCTTCACTCAGAAAAGTTACTAGATCATTACCACTTTGTTTTCCGGCTTAGGCAGCATCGGAAAGCAAGAATGCAGGCTTTGCAGAAGGATTACGAAGAAATAGGAAGAGTTTGGGCTACTCTCAGTCTACCCCTCACATCCACAGTCCAGCAGTCAGGAAGGAGGAAAGGGCATGCCCGACACCCAGAGGGGTATGCAATTGCCCACAACTTAATCCTATAGCCACCCGGGCAGTGACAGGCTGGGAAATGCAGTCCCCATTCTGAACGGCTGATGCGTAGATAAAATGTGGTAGTTCTGTAACCAACGGAAGGAGAAAATGAACACAGAAGCAACACTGGGGTTGAAACAGCAGCTCTGTCACAGGGGGAATCTCTTCTGTGGGCCCCTCACACTGGAGAGTTCTTAAGCACTTCACCTTTTAGTTATTCTCAGAAGTTATTGTCATCAGCCCTAATGACTGAATCAGGATTGAACCTGTGTCTTGTTTCCACTTTATTCTTTCTATATTCTCTGAGCTCCCAACACCAACAGGTGATGGGAATACTGCTCACTTGCTGGCCACCGAATGCACAGAATTGCTGCTTTCCAAAGATCCTTTTCATTGACCCCAAAGGCCACCTGAAGGCAAATGATGTGGTTTACTTAAAATTGTGTTTGTCTGCCCTGGCGGATTTGACTCAAAGGTAGAGTGTTGGCCTGTGGACCAAAGAGTTGCAGGTTCGATTTCGGTCAAGGATACGAACCTCGGTTCCGGTTTGTCCCTGGTCCTGGTGGGGGTCGTGCAGGAGGCAATCAGTTGATGTGTCTCTCTCACATAAATGTTTCTCTCTCTCTCCCCCTCTCCCTCTCTCTCCCTCCTTGCCACTCTATCTCAGATAAATAAAAAAATATCCTCAGGTGAGGATTAAAAAAAAAATTGTGTTTGTCACCCTGCCCCACATCCTTGTTCTTACCCAACACCTTATTTAGAAAATAGTGAAATAAGAAGGTCCTGACAATCCAATTATCCTAATGCTTAGGAGAAGAAGTTAAAAGTTAGTTTGGGTTGACATTCTAATAGGTACTATTAGGTAGGTTTTTTGTTTTGTTTTGTTTTTTTTAATGATTTTTTTCCCCACAAGTAAAAAGAACAAGAAAGGCCCTGGCCAGTTTGGCTCAATGGTTAGAGCATTGGCCCACAAACCAAAGAGTCTCAGGTTTGATTCTGGTCAAGCAAACATACCTCGGGTGCAGTTCATTCCCAGCCCTGGTTGGGGTCAAGCAGGAGGCAACCAGTCAATGTGTCCCTCTCACGTCAATGTTTCTCTTTCTCTCTCTTTCTCTCCCACTATATCTGAAGATAAAATAGAAAAATATCCTCAGGTGAGAATTTAAAAAAATAAAAGAAGAACAAGAAAGTATGCTTTCTAACTTCATGCCAATAGAGAAATACATAGGTTTCCACATTTCTTCCTAACTTAGATCTAGTTCTCGCTGTGCACATAAACCAGTACAGATGTCCATGAATATAACCTTTCACCTAATATGCAGTGCAAATGCCTGGACTCTGGGGCTACGGTGCTAGGAGTCTGTGCATTTGACATTGAGGGGACAACCATCCATGACCCCTTGGACTTGAGGTGGTTTACAAGAATGATAACTGCAAGCACTGTTTTCTGCTTTTCTCTCCGACCCAGCTGTGAAGTTTGGGAGGATGTCCAAGAAGCAACGGGACAGCCTGTATGCTGAGGTGCAGAAGCACCAGCAGCGGCTGCAGGAGCAGCGGCAGCAGCAGAGCGGGGAGGCGGAGGCCCTCGCCAGGGTGTACAGCAGCAGCATCAGCAACAGCCTCAGCAACCTGAACAACGAGGCCGGCGGCACTTATGCCAATGGACATGTCATTGACCTGCCCAAGTCCGAGGGTTATTACAACGTGGATTCCGGCCAGCCATCTCCCGATCAGTCAGGACTTGACATGACTGGAATCAAACAGATAAAGCAAGAACCCATCTATGACCTCACATCCGTACCCAACTTGTTTACCTATAGCTCTTTCAACAACGGGCAGTTAGCACCAGGGATAACAATGACAGAAATCGGTAAGTGGAAGTCCCCTCCCAGCTCATTTTTGGAAATTCTGCTGTGAAGTTGCATTGGTCCTATTTAGTAGGGGCATTTTCTTAGGTATGTGTTGAATTACTGGTGTTCATGGCTTCTAATGAGAAAAATAATTGATTTTAAAATATAGTCTAATAATTGTCATTGTTCCCCTGCCCCATAAAAGTTTGTCTCAAGCAAAGGAAAAAAAAGGAATTATAACTAGAAATATGCTATCTGTTAAATTTGGGGTCGTCACTGAAAGAAAAATGTTATTGGTATTAGCAGGAAAACTTCAGCAAGGATTCAGAGTGGTGTTCTTTAATGTGAAATAACTAAGGGATATAGAAACAGTGTGTAATCATTGAATGACCAGGGCTCCAACTCTTCCTCTAAGATAATTGGGGACAAACCATTAGCAAATGGTACCTCACTTTCCTTCTTGGAAAGGCAGAGGGGTAGATCAGAATCTCTAAGCCTCTTATAAATCTGAATTCAAGAATTCTACATGGGACTAGGGTCTGATTTACGGGCAGTGAAAGAGTATAATCTGGAATGTTACAGCACCTAAGAGCAACAAACATGCTGTGGGGAGTAGGGCTAGTCACAGGTGTAATTGCATCAGTAACCCAATCCTCTGTCTGCTATGATGTCCTTTGGTTCCCAGAGAGTGGTCTGTAAGAGCATCCTATCCTAGGACGCTCTCTTCTGACCTGTGCAGCCGTGTTTTACCCTGCGATGCTCAGGAGCCTATTACGTGTTTAACCAATTGACCTCACTAACTAATTGCTATAACATATTGATATAGGTGTAACCCATTACCCTCCCAGGTAATGGAGTTGCATGTTCACAGCCTAGAAGAGCTAAACAAACAGTGGCTACCAGACTTCGTTGCAGTATGCAGTGCACTGGGGAGGGAAACAAAGAGCTCAGGAACCTTCGAAGCCTCCTCACATCCCGCCCTGAGAGATGGCAGAGCAAGAGTGTTGAAGAATCAAACCACCTGAGTTCAAATCCTAACTCTCTGGCTTATGAATTGAGCCTGAACAGTTTTCAAAATCCCAGTTTACCCACCTTTTTGTTGTTGTTGTTGTCGTTGTTGTTTATGATTGCTCATCTTTAAAAAGAGAAAAGTATGCCCTGACTGGTTTGGCTCAGCGGTTAGAGCGTCAGCCTGTGGACCAAAGCGTCCCGGGTTTGATTCTGGCCAAGGGCATGTACCTCGGGTTGCAGTTCATCCCCGGCCCCAGTTGGGGTCGTGCAGGTGGCAACCAATTGATGCATCTCTCTCACATTGATGATTCTCTCCCCCCCCCACCCCCACTCTGTCTGAAGATAAATATAAAAATATCCTCGGGTGAGGATTATAAAAATAAAATAAGAAAAGTATTAGTTCATAGAGCACATGGTTGTTGTGTTTGGAACTCAGCAAGTGCTCAGTAAGTCTTGGCTGACACTGCTTGTACACCACGTGTCAGGCAGCTTCTCTGTCTGCAGAGCAGGAGCCTCAAGCCTACGAGTGTTTTAAATAAAGCTGATGTGAACACAGACTGAAGTACATGCCATATGTATTCTGGCTACTTCCACCATCTGGTCGAGGGAGAAGAAATGTTACCCACTTAGAAAACCCGAAACGTTATGTCTCTCTTTTAGCAATTCAGGGTGTGACAGTGAGGAAAGAAGTTGTTGACAAAACATGTATAACAACACTCCCATCGAGAGACATAGGCAAGTGAATGTCAGCTATATCATTGTTGCTGTCCTTAACCTTTCTTTTTAACTATGTCACGGGCACTTCACATACATTTAACTTTCACGAGCATCTTATAAGTAAAAATATTATTCTCATTTTACAGATGAGGAAACAGAGGCTTAGAGTTGTCTCATGACCTTCCCAGGGTCCTTCGGTTACTAAGTGATAGACGGTTTCCACCCAAGTCTGATTCCAGAGTCTCTTCTCTTGTCTGTCACTCTGCCACCTGTTGTGGATTTAATATTCACAGACTGCACTGTCAACCAATAGGGACAGTCTTTTCAAGTGAAGTCACTTAATTTTTCCAAGAGAACATGTTACCAAAAAAAAGAAAAGAAAGAGAAATCAGCACCATTTTTCACTTCTATTCTACTTAATATCTATATGCAAGGGTCTGCTATTGATTTGAAACACATATTCAAAACCTAATGATACAAACTCACAACTGTTGGGCCAATTTCTGCCCCATGTTAAAAATAAACTCATGTAAGAATGCAAAAGGCACAGTTTCCTCGTGATTTAGAATCACTAGGAAGTATGGAAAGAGAAATACGGCCGAAACCGGCATGCCTGGGTAACCCTAGGCAAGTCACTTTTCCTCTCTGGTCTTCAGTCTGTTCATCTCTGGACTGCTGCCTTTGGACTCAATCTCAAAATTCATCCGGATTTTCTAAACAGTGATACCCAAAACGGACTGGCATATGTTTTTAATTATTTCAAGATACCATTTGTCTTTAGAACATTTCTAGGTGTTCTCTGAACTTTGGAGACCTCTTGCAGTAGACTTTCAGGGGTGCCGTTATATGGTGCTTGCCCGTGCTCCCCTAGTTAGCAGGCTCTTAAACCTAAACAGTGACTTGGTTCTTATTTTGTCAAAACAGCAATGCCATCTAGTGGACACAAACTCCTTCTCTGGGTGTCAAATGTAGCCACATTTGACAAGCCACGATAATGGGACACACTGTTCTTTCCTGTACCATCCAAAACACTGCCACTCATTTCACTAAAACTAAACCCATAACGGTTTCATTGGGTGAGAAGGCAGCAGACGTATAGCATTGGTGGCTAAGAACTCTGGCTCTGGCATGTTTGCCTGCGCTCACAGCCCGGTGGGCCTTTTCCCTTCAGCAATTTACATGACCTCGGAGTGTCAGTTGTAAACCTGGGACAATAATAGTCCCTACCTGTGTATGTTGATTAAGTGAGTGAATAGTTGTAAGTTCTTAAGACGATCTGACATGTATAAGCCTCATGATTATGAATATAATTGGTATTATAATGTTATTCATTTCATTATTAATAACATTACTAATATTCTTAGTAATATTAGTATTACAGGTGATACAGTTACTTTTCATTGAGCACCTACATTGTGTTGAGCAATGTCCTTTATTTAATTCTCATAACAATCCTATTATGCCTATTATAAAAGTATTGGTATATCCATTTTACAGATGAAAAACTGAGGCTCCGAAGTTACAAAACGTGTGAAAAGCAAAGTAAGCATATAAGCCCAGGTCTGAGTAACATCAAAACCCATTCTTTAAACTATCATACTATATTTTCTCCCATCAACAAAGAGAGCTCCATAAGCTAATTGGAATTCCCACCACAAAACATATTTAGTGTTTGTTGCCTGCCTGATGACCTTCTAGGTACCACAAAGGAGCTTACAGTGTGAACATGCTGACATTTTGACTTGACTTGATTAATGAGCAGCTGTACTAATCTGGATGGTGGCAAGCTGTCATAGAGAGAACCCTGGGCAGACGATACAGAACCTGATTTTTGCCCCATTTTTGCTGGGCGAATTCAAGGCTATATCACACAAACGAAATGTTTAACATCACTCGTGGCTACTACAAGTCCTGATCTGCTTCCTCCAGTTTCTAAGAGAACAATGAAATGTGTACAACCAGGTCATTATTCTGATACTGAGTCATCTCAAAAGCAGTTGATTTTTAAAACCAGTTTTTGGGTTTTAGTCCATGTTGAATACGGTCTTACAATTTGAAAACTTTAAATTAAACCATGTTTAAGAACCATAAAACAGCTATATAAGCAACAGCATGGAGATCCCAAAAAGTCAGTCACATGCTTGTTATCAGAGTTAGGAATATTCCCCCAGAAAAACCAAACTCGTATTTCTACAAGTGCAGCATAGAAACTACACACTTTCTAGGCTAAGGAACCTAACGATACACTCCGTATGGAGAAAATGTAGAAAGACCTGTCATACATGTTAGCTGATGTGAGCCTCACACCACTGCTTCGTGGGCAGGGAAGAAATCATCCCACTGTACAGATGAAAAAAGTAAGGTTCAGAATGAGTGAGTGATTTTTCTAGACCACAGAGTTAGTAAGTGGTGAAGTCTAAATTCTGCTCCTTAGACTGTCAGGCATTCTTTCAAAAACATATTTTTGAAATGTGCCAGGCACTCAAGGCAAGCAGACCACGGTTCCTGACCTCACCGTGTAGGAGCCAGACATGAAAATAAATCATTGCAATTCAGTGTCATATGCTATAAGTCCTAGACATGATGGTATCACAATCCCTCCTGGAGGTTTTTACTCTGAGCCACATCTCTTATGAGGGATAATTTATTGCCATAATTTGGGGAATAGGAAACAAAATGTGAGTAAGCAAACAAAATATTGAACATTTCAATAATTATATCATTGGGTTTTTCAAATCCCATAGGAGAAAAAGACATGAAAGAAGAGAAAGGCAAGAGTAAGCTTCAAATGATTGTTTAGGCAGCAGAATTATCTGGGTTTAGCTGGAAATTTCCTACAAGCTGGCATGGTGCATGTGTTATATCTCTGGAAATAAAATTTTGCAGTCGTTGGTGGCAGGGAGGAGGCTGGCTAAAGGATCCCTGGCACACAAGCAGAGGACAAGAGTGGACGCTCTTGTGTTTGCTCCCCCACTGTGGCCCTCAGATGGGCTGGAAGATTCTGCAGCACTAATACTCTTAAGGAAAGCTCATTGCAGCTCAGAGATGATTGACAATGTATCTGTGAGGTAGCAGATGACAATTCAAACTGCCAAACAACATGCTTTTAAAAACAGACAGAAAAAATCCATTAAATTAACTGTGATGCTAAGAAGATACATTGACTTTTACACACATCACCTGAGTTTGCTGTTCTATTCAGTAATTTTCTCTCCAGATAAAGAAAATGAAAGGTAAATTCATTGATCTCTCCTATATAATCTTTTTTTTTATCCTCGCCCGAGGATATTTT